CGGGAAGTCGTCGTGCTAAGGCCCCATAGGACCAGCACCCCAGAACAACAACCGCCGTCGATGAAAAATAACTAGATCGGAAGGATCCAAACCGAAGACACACGAACGTAGACGAACAACGACGAGATCCGAGCAAATCCACCAAAGATAGATCTGCCGGAGACACACCTCCACACGCCCACCAACGATGCTAGACGCATCGCCGGAACGGGGGCTAGGCGGAGAGACCTTTATTCCATCTTCAGGGAGCCGCCGCCGTCTCGCCTTCCTGAGTAGGACACAAACCCTAACAAGATTGAAAAAAATGATTAAAAACGAAGCCCTTCCGCCGGCCCTTGCCAGGATCCACCGCGCCTCCATGACCCTAGGGCCACCGGAGACGAGGCGGACCTGCGGCGGCGCCGGCAAGAGGGACGAACCCTAACTCTCTTTCTTGGAGGAGGAGGAGGCGGTGAAGGAGTACTTGAGGACAACTACTTATAATAGATGGTGTGCTAATACAATTTTCGCACCAATTAAAGGTGTCAATCTCTTGAAATTTGACCGCAGTGGTTCCCAAAGGACGCCTAAAGCAGACGCGGGAAAGGAGGCTGATGAGACGGTTTTCCTGAAGTGTCGCAAACTTGCAGTTGTCCTCAGCTAGAGATTCTCGGTCACCATCAGACGTCGGGAGTGATCTCCTTGTACCGTGCGCGCAGTGCGGTCCGTCGATTATATGGTGCGCGATCTCTAGCTGGTCCTAGCATGCAATATGCAGCCGGGTTATTTAAACAGTTCTAACTGGCCTGCGTTTGTGTGAGGTCGGTCTCGTTGGCGGATCCGGCTTGACTGCTCCCTCCCGATGCTCTCATCCGTGCTCTTACTTTATTCTAAGATTCTTTTTTCCTTTCTAATCTAATCATCTTTCCCCTGATTTTAAGGGGTGGGGCCAGGCCTTATTTTGTTCCAATCAAATCATGCCACGTATGCGGGAGCACGGATGGGCACACACACAGGGAGCAGGCAAGTCTCGTCCGTGCTTGGCGGCTTTAATCGCTTTATTATCCCCTGAAATTAATGCTTCCATTCCATGCAAGTCCGCCTCTGCTTTCTTCCTATAGTCAGCCGAGTGCTGATCGCGTGCCGAAGGGTGCGCACGATATTTTCAAAAAGACGTCCATGAGGGAAGGAAAATGTAAGCTACTAGTAGTAAAGGCCAAGGCATCTGAAGCTCCATCGGCACGTTCACATAACCCATACGCGATCGATTGTCAAGGAAGCTCGACTTACTCATCCTCCCGCCGTCTGCTTTTCTAGAAGCCTTTCCTTCGTCGGCTCAGCAGTTACGTACATTAATCCAAGTGAAAAGCTACTATCATGTACAGTGATGTCTATGTACAATTTTTTTTGCGCAGTACCCTCTGCATGATAATACAGTAGTACATATATTCTCCTGTCGTGAACAGGTACCAACTATAGCTAGCTCACCAAATCGTTGAAGCGAACAACTCAAACTCACTTCCTCACTCATGCTTAGTCTCGACCAGCAGATACCTACGTACGCAATTTTCATTTGACTGTGGGCCACAAAGTGGACCACCCTTGGACTCTTTTGGTCATGCGAATCATGGTTGTAGGTGTGAAAGTTAGCGTTCGGGCTGTGAATTAGCCAGACACGTATTCGAGGTGATGATAGCATCGTTGATTTTTATGCTGAGTTGTTTGGTTGTGATATTGGACATTTTCCTATGACATGAAATACCTAGGTGTACATGTGGGTTTTGCTGCCGTGCGCAACTCTGATTGGGATTGTACTGAGACTAAATATATTACGAAATGTGATGCCTGGCTGGGTAATGCTTCTTCAATGGTTGGTAGAACTATTCTTCTCAATTCCAGCTTATCCAGTATATCTTATTATCATAGGTCCATGTTCTTAATGAACAAGACATTTGTGGGCAAACTTGACAAACATAAAAGGAACTTCTTCTGCGATAGAGAGGTGACTTTTAATCCTCCGGATATCTTATTATCATATGTCCATGTTCGGAAGGACATAGTTAGGGCCAAAAACATTTATATGTTGGGTAGAGAGGCGACTTTTAAGCCTCTGGATGTGGCTAGGCTTTGGAAAGAACCTTGGGATGATAATATTCCTCTATGTGATAAATTCCCCCAAAAGTCTGGCATTTGCAATACCCTGATTGCACTTATCAACAAGAGTGTTGGGGAAAATGTCTTTGATTTCTTTAGGAGAAGGCTTAGTCCTAAGCTATGTACCAATGGAACTATATTTAAATGAAAAGTGTTGGCTTCCTATCTTCCAAGGAACTTGATGTTGTTTCTAGGAAATTTGAAGCTAAGAATATTTTGTACTACCAAATATGTCTATGAACTGTTGGAAAGTACGTCTGCTGGTTGTCATCGTCTTCGGAGACGGGCCCCCTACGTATGTTAACATGGGTCGATCCCTGTGCCACACCAACCCAAAGAGTGTGGGTTGCCTCACGTGTTGAAAACCGGGATGATTTCATGCCTCTCG